TTTCAATGAATCCATGGATCATGCGTAACTATAGGAATTACAAATAGGAAAAAATAAAATATTTCTCATATAAAACCATAGGAAATACAAATTCATAAACGTGATGATAAAAAATTGTTCACACATTAAAATAGTAAAGTATGTAAGTTTTTCTTTAAAATGGAATAGCAAAAACAAGATATGATCACAGAATCCATCTCTGATTTCTTTAAAGCGTTTTCCCACTGATTGGCCATCACTCCCTAATAATTAAATCACATGAGAACAAGTGAGCCAACACACTTGGGTGATGAACTGGTTGCCACATTATTTAGAAATGCCGTAATAAAGAGGGTACATACTGTTGACCCACTGAAGGATTTCTAGCAGGATATAATTCATGATCTGATCGAAGTGACATTTTGGAATAAATCTGAGCTTGGTGTCATGTTGAAAAGAGCCAGGGACAGAAAGATCAACTGAAATTTACGGCTGCAGTTCATAAGAATGACGGGATTTGGGGGAATAGATATTTAAAAATGGGAACTAAACAAGTGCCCTAACAAGGTAGTGTTTAAAAGGCTTGAATGCCAATTACAGATCTCTTATGAAGTACTGCATGACTTCCTGGTGAACTATGATAAAAGCTCTCCGGAAAAGAAAGCTTTTACTTTATTTTTACTTATTAAACAGGACGTAAAGAATAGACAACCTGGCAAGGAGAGTGGAGGGACTCCTAGCAACCCTGCCTGATTTCCACTTCAAATACAAGTTCACTTTTTAACACTCAAAACTTTACTTACCACCCATCTCAATCCCACTCACATGTCTAGAGTCCACTCCCCTGTGTCTAGAGCCTTGATCAAAAGTATGACAGGACTGAGGTTTTCATAAATGATTAGTTGGTGGTTGGCTAAGTCACAGAGCCACTAGTCATTACTTATTCCATTTCTAGCATCTTTATTCCCTAGTTACTTACCATGAAAAATATGCAAGACCTGCTGTAGAATACAGAAGTCTTTCAAGTTTTAACATCCGAGAGATAAATTTGGTAGAATAACATCATGAATTCTAAAGAGAGTAAGAAAATCCTAAAACCAAAGGAATGATTTAAAAAATAGAATAATCATAATTTTCAAGTGAGCACAACTTGTCAACGAGACAATATACTTCAGTGTGCAGACCTCTGTTGAAATATATTCTCTGGAGTATCAACCCTTTAGATTTACCCAATATTTGGGAATAGAGGCTATATGTGTGCTCAGATAATGCCAGTTTAATACTTATTAAATATTTTGCATCCAATGTGTCTATATTCGGGTTCGGAAACCCACAGCGACTTAACAATTTTCCCTTTCTGCAGCATGCCTCTGTTGTCAAAGGCTAGACTTACCTAAGTGATACCATATTTAATGACAGTAAACTCCCTCAAAAACTGATGATCTACAAAACCATGGGAGTTGTATTATGCAGTAAATTGAGCTCGTCTGCCTCAGAATTACGTAGAGTCAATGACTTCCAATAACTCTTAGAATAAACCCTGGGCTAGAAGGTGCCGGGCGTTCTGGCTCTTGCCCCCTTTTCAACCTTGTTTCTTTCCTTTTCCTTCTTTTCTGACTGCTCACAGCCCTTCCTTCTTCAACACCTTGGTTTGTTCTGCTTCACCAATGTGCTAGCTTCTTCTCCACCTGGGGTCTCTGTATTAATATTTAATTTTGACTACAATGTTTTCTCTAAGTGTTTTCATGGCTGACTACTGCTTATTTTCTTTCCAGGGATAATTTGGATCTGAGGTACCTCTGTCACATGCACCTCAGAACCCTGCCAATTTGCTTCCAGGTGATTATCAAAACCATAACCGGGTTTAGGTATTTTCTTTCTAATTGCGCCCCCCCCTCGAGAATGTACATTTGTAATTTAAGGTATCTGAGTATTTGGTTTGTTTTGGTTTCGTTGGTTTTCTTTAGAAAAGAACGCAGAGCAAGAGTGACACTTGTGTTAATTCTCAAATGTCCAGCTGAATAATGTGGACGAAGACTAAATGGCTAGAGAATATATTAGTAATGGAAAGAAGCTGATCCTCTGAGCTTTTACTTGGATTCTGTAAGACCACAGAGCGTCTAGATCATACGCATTAAACCAGACCTTCTTGGAATTGCATTTGCTATCATTACTATTTTACAGCCTATCTTTTCAATACAAGTGTTTGGTTTTTGTTTGAGAAATTTCTACCAGTGTCCATCTGGACTTACAATGGTTAAGGGGGCTCAGTCTTCATTTCCATATGAGCAAATGAAGGAATAACTCCTGAGATGGAGGTGGATTTAGGACACAGGGAGGGGAACATCACACACTGGGGCCTGTTGGGTGGGTTGGGGAGGGATAGCAGTGGGTGGGGGGATAGAGGAGGGACAGCATTTGGTGAAATACCTAATGTAGATGACGGGGTGATGAATGCAGCAAACCACCAAGAAAGCACGTGTCACCTATTTAACATGCTGCATGCTCTGCATATGCACCCCAGAGCTTAAAGTATCATTTTTAAAAAAAGAAAGAAACAAAGAAAGAAAGGAAAAGCCTTATGGCACAGGTTTTAGAAGCAGGCAAACTCAATCTCCAGTATGGACTCACAAGCTGCCTGCTTCTCCACACGTGGTTCAGCCAGCACTGACCTTTGGTGTCACCATTTGTAGAACAGCTGTCTGTACGTCACCTTCCTCATAGGGTGGTCTGGATACTTTGCAAGGTGCTCAGTAAATGGTATTCGTAATAAAATGCGTTTTTCATGCCTGCCTCTGCAAGCCATCTGTTATTAACAGTGTGGCTAGAACCCAAAAAGGCTGAAACTGCTCAGTGCTATGTTTCCTGATCTGGAAAAACTGAGCGTACTTCAAAAATATAGGGCTGTTTTAAGGACAAATAAGTAAAAATTGGTAAGAAGTTTAGAGCAAGACCTGGCAGAGAGTAAGTGCCTACAGTTTTTTTCCAGTTTTCTTTCATGGACATAAACTTTGCTGGAAAATCTGAATTTAGAGATTTGTAGATTGACAGTATCTTAAAGTAAATCCAAATATATGTCAGTGAACTTAAAATATCAGAAAATCCTTCGGCGATTTACATCAACAGTCCTTATACAATTTGGCGCTAATCATAGTAACGTCAATTCTACATATACTTTCTATAACCTATATTTCCAACTCTGGCATGAAGAATAAGAACAAAAATGAGTTCCTCTTAATACTCGAATGGCACAAACTATCAGAATGGTGTATGAGAAACAACCACTTGAAAAAGAAAATAACAAATAAAAATGTAGCATTAGGTTTAGCCCCACTAAAAAATACATTAAGTAATTAAAAGCTTGGATTCTCAAAGTTCATAGGAATAAATAACAAGTTACTCTCTTTTTAAACAAATTATATTGTCTAGGAATAAACAGAAATGATATTGTCTAGGAACAAAGTAGACAATTATATTGATGGGGCTGAAGCCTAGGTGAGTGCATGTCCCACTGCTGTAACCATAATCATAGACCCCTTATTTCACTAGCACCACTTTCCAAGAAAAAGGAATGAAAAGCCAGAAACTACAGGATAACTCTGAGAGTGATAAGAGCACTCATCAATACTAACACTCCTGAAAATATTAGTCAACTTCTAAATACTATCATAAATAAGGCTTATGTTTGTCTATCTACAGAGATTCACAAAGTGTACTGAAGTAGCAGATTTTTCTAGACACATCCTATGTAGTAACAACCATAGCATCATTTTACACTGTCACTGAAGTCGTCCTGTTCATATAAGTTGAAATGAACTTGCATACAAATGCCCATAATAAGCAGGAAAATTTAACCGGAATATGAAACAGCCCTGTGGTTTGTGTCTGGCTTAGAGTATTTATCATCGGCTGGAAATCTGGCCTTTGAAAAATATGCATGCATTTACATTCTAGCAAACTGTTTAATCTCAATTCAAAAGATCATTTAGTAAGGCTTATCCATGTATTTGCTTATTTGCAACTGCTTATTAAAGGCGATGAATATCAACATTAAGCATTTTCAGTGCCTGAAAACAGGTCCTAAAATAAACCTTACTCTCATTGGAAATTCTTATTTCGCATTTACAAGGTTTACCTGCATAATCAAATGCCAAAAAAGATTTGTGTATATGACCTTTGTCATTTCATTTATCAGACTATAAACTCAGTCTCACATCCATCTTTGAAAGGTTAGAGTCTACTGTGCGATGCCTTCTTCCAATTAAAATGAGTAATATACAAATGCAGGCACCGGAACAACAGCTCTCTGCTCATTCTTATTTTAACTGTCTTTGAGACTAGAAATAGAAGAGGCTTATAACCATAATCTAGGCAGAAGGTAAGACCGTCCACACTTTGGGGCTGCTGAGTATGTTTTAATCCCTCATAAAAAACTAGTCATATTACAAGTGGCTCATTTTTACACTTTTTAATACAAACAATGTGAAATTAAAGCAGTTGCTGCATCTATTTACTCTATATTCTAACTTATACGTTTCCCTATTAATGTGTCTCTCATATATTTGTTTTTTGAGATGGATTCTCACTCTGTCACCCAGGCTGGGTGCAGTGGCACAGTCTCAACTCACTGCAACCTTTGCCTCCCAGGTTCAAGTGATTCTCCTGCTTCAGCCTCCCAGGTAGGTGGTATTATAGGCACCCACCACCATGCCCAGCTAATTTTTAAAAAAAATTTAGTAGAGATGGGGTTTTACCATGTTGGACAGGCTGGTCTCAAAAACCTATCTCTGGTGATGTGCCCATCTCTGCCTCCCAAAGTGCTGGGATTACAGGTGTGAGCCACTGCGCCCAGCTTACCTATTTAAAGAAGTAGGTTTCCTAAAGGTCAATTTCATGCAAGTCTTACACAGTTTTAGAAAGATATTTCACTGTTTGGTAAGAACATTATTTATGATTCTTTCCTTTAAAACAAATCACTCAGTACAACAGTGGAAGCTGGATGCAGAAAGAGTTGACCTTACTTTTGTATTCCAGGTGGAAACCGGCAGCCGCCACGCTAATGTCAGACTGGAAATGCAGGTAGAGTTGGTTGGAAGTGCTGTTCAGCAGTGCTGGCACTGTGGTGCCTGTAAGAAACAATGCAGACAGAATTTTAACACTAAAAATACTTTCACTTTCTAATATGAAACATATGAGGATACTTACTAGGCTTACAAATTCTTACAATTTGTCTGATTGCCACATATTTAACCCGAGCATTCGTTTTATTATGCATTCAGCCATTCCATTTTTCTAGGTACAATAAAGTTACCCATTGTTGGCTCTGACCTGCTCAAGTCAATGTGACACTTTTCTCTTGTATTTTCTATTATACAAAACTCCTATTGTACCATGAATTGTTTTTTGTTTTTTGCATTGCTTTATCAATGTAATCTGCTTTTTAAATTTATTTTTTTTTACGTGACATGAACAGAGAGGAACGAAAAGTTCAAAAGCCAAGTGTTATGAGGGTTGAGGGAGCAGTCAGACCAGGTAGGAGAGATCCTTCAAAAGGTGTTGCTCTTGACCGTGCGTGTATGCCCATCCTCTTCCCACTGTGACTCATGCTGAGTAACGTTCCCCAGGTCTGTCAATAATTTCAAGTAAAAATGCATGAAAAGGAATATGTAGGGTTATTCTGACATGATGCTTCCTTTACTTAAAATGTTCTAGCCTGCATCACAGTAACTAAGCCACTGGAAAGGGAAATACAGGTACCGAGGACCAGGGTATCAAATAAGTAATCATCCTGGCAGGTGCTGAGGAAAAGAAAATGGTTCGTCACTCAGAAGTCTGAGACATTTTGGTAGAATGTATCATAATATGAAATAATAGGCTGGGCGTGGTGGCTCAAGCCTGTAATCCCAGCACTTTGGGAGGCCAAGGCGGGTGGATCACGAGGTCAAGAGATCAAGACCATCCTGGTCAACATGGTGAAACCCCGTGTCTACTAAAAGTACAAAAAATTAGCTGGGCATGGTGGCACGTGCCTGTAATCCCAGCTGCTTGGGAGGTTGAGGCAGGAGAATTGCCTGAGCCCAGGAGGCAGAGGTTGCAGTGAGCCGAGATCCCGCCATTGCACTCCAGCCTCGGTAAGGAGTGAAACTCCGTCTCAAAAAAAAAAAAAGAAATAAGAACAGACAAGTTTAGGTTACTTTTTTCCTGATATGTATACGTTTGATACTCTATTAGAATCATTCCCTAAATTAGAAGTGTATAAATACTAGATGTAAAGGAAATATGCATTGTGTAAAACTCACCACAGTGTAGATAAATTATTCAAATGAGCCATGTTGAGGATAGTATTGGTGAGTAAGGGGAGTAACAATTTAAATAACAAAGCAAGATATAAGTTGATAATTATTCAAAACAGATGAACTTTATTGAAGAGATAAGATTGTCTATCATCCTTAGCTCACTACTTAAACGATTCTAATATCCCCACACAGATTTTATTTTATTTTATTTAGATGGAATGTCACTCTGTCACCCAAGATGGAGTGCAGTGGTGCAATCTTAGCTTATTGCAACCTCTGCCTCCTGGGTTCAAGTGATTCTCCTTCCTCAGCTTCCCGAGTAGCTGGGGTTACAGGTACACTCCACCATGTTCTGCTAAGGTTTGTATTTTTAGTAGAGATGGGGTTTCACCATGTTGGCCAGGCTAGTCTCAAACTCCTGACCTCAAGTGATCTGCCCACCTCGGCCTCCCAAAGTGCTGGAATTACAGGTGTGAGCCTCCGTGTCCAACCACTAGCAGATTTGATTAAACCAATAACCCTCGGCAAGGACTCTGGCTGTCTCTTTATAAGAGGCTTTTTAAAGGTGATGTGTGTCCAACCAAACTCCTAATCTATCTGTCCCTGAAACATCTGGTAGCTCTCTACTGTTTCTTAACACCACCATCAGTGGATGCATCCGCATCCTCACATTCAAAGCTTCCTCCTTCTCCATGTCAGTCATCAGGCCCTAACTGGTGTGCTTTCTAAATATTTTTCCAAATTATTTCACTCACTTCCTGTTATGCTCACAATAATCACCCAGTGCAGGCAGCCTTACATTAACCAGAATGAGTGCAGTCATCTCCTAACTTGTTTTTTGAGCCTGATCTTTTCCTAATTCAGTGCATTCTCCATGCAGCAGTCGGAAAGCACTTTACAAATGTATGTACGATGAGACATATTAAAATTCCCATAGATTCCTGATCATCTTAGAACCAAATTTCACACTCCTTGACTTGGTCTGAAGACTCTGCATGATCTGACCAATGCCTGCATTTTTAGCTTCTTATCATTACTTGGTTTTCACAATTAGTTTCTCTTGCTTCAGGATGCTGCATTTAATAAGCCTGGCATGTTTTTTCCTTCTCCTCTTATTCACTTTGCCTTTCCTTTTTTTTTTTTTTTTTTTTGAGAAGGAGTCTCGCTCTGTCTCCCAGGCTGCTGGAGGGCAGTGGCGTTAACTAGGCTCACTGCAACCTCTGCCTCCCGGGTTCAAGCGATTCTCCTGCCTCAGCCTCCTAAGTAGCTGGGACTACAGACACACGCCACCACACCTGGCTAATTTTTGTGTTTTTAGTAGAGTTGGGTTTCACCACATTGACCACGCTGGTCTCGAACTCCTGACCTCGTGATCCTCCTGCCTCAGCCTCCCAAAATGCTGGGATTACAGGCATGAGCAACAGGACCTGGCACCTTTTCTATTTCTATTCATTCAAATATCAACACTTATTTTCCAAACTAAGCCACTCTCTCATTCAATCAACATGGGTTTATTAGCCCATGTTATCAGCCCAAGATAATATGACATGAGTGAAATAATTTGGAAAAAGACTTAGAAAGCATGTCATTTAGGGCCTGATGACTTATTGGAAGGCAGTCCGGGGTCTTGGAGAAGAAGGAAGCTTTGAATGTGACGATACGGATGGATGCTGATGGTATTGTTAGATGAACTACTAAACGCATTTGCCAAACATACTCGTTATTCTCTGACTTGGTGCAAAGCAGAATGTTCCCCGATTAGAACAGAGATGTGTGTAGAAGGATATTCATTTCTGTATTGCTTGTAATAGTAAGACACCAGAGGCAACTCTTCAACACAGATAATGTTACATAGTAAAATATCCTTATTATGAAACACTGTGTAACTGAGAACATATAAGGAGTGGAATAAAAAAAAAAAAAAAAGAACAGAGCCTCAAAGACTGGAACGTCCTCAAATCCTTAAAGACAATGTGCAGACCAACCCTGCCATGCAAAATATGACTGGCACGGCTTTACTCCGTCTGCCTTTACACACATCTCCTGCCTGGGCTGACAAAACAGCCATCAGCTGAGCTTCAGAACGGGTGTCTCCCTTCTTCTTACGCATTTGTTCCACACACAAAGCGATCTGTTTACAAATGAGTAACGCTTGCCCATTTTATTTCTATACATAGGCATAAGATGTGTCTTTTCATAAAACTATAGATCAACTTCTGTTGATCTGTACTGTGCTTTGAGAACTCACCCTTTGGAGATGGGGAAATTTCATCTCTATTATGGCTGAGGATTCCTTTCCTGCCCATAGATGTATGTCTACGGACAGCCCATAGACTCAAACTTTTGGGTCCTTGACTCCTTACTTCACATAAGCTCATTCTTCAACCTCACCTGGCCCCTTGAATCTGAGCAGCTTCCTGTTTTTGTGCACAGCTTGATAGAACCCTCTTTGATGAGTCCCTGGTCTAAAACCTACCCTAAGTGCATCAGCCTCCTAGTTTATTTTCAAGGTCCAGTCACGTCCTTGTGGTGCTCAAGGAATTCAATTATATCTTATTTTCCTGGAGGAAACCCAGGCCTGGAAAGTGCCATCAGTTTCCCCTTGTCAGTTACTTCAGCTACCTCGACATCCGCCTTCACCGCCATCCTCTCTGCTTTCCAAAGCTGAGCCTTTTGAAAGACTAAATCCAGGAGGGGGTCCACCCATGGGTATGAACACCTGCTGCTTTCAGACCAAAGGAATGAACACCAAGGTATGAACACCTGGCTCACCCCCGGAATGAGGCTGGAAAAAATACCAGTGGAATGAGAGGAAATAAGGTCCCAGTAGAATGTACTGCTACAAATGCAAAGGGGGATTTTGTCAAGTATCATCTGAAGACACGGTAAGGACTTCTTCGCGGTTTGGGGCTAACAGACAGAATCTTCCATTGTGCTTACAAAGGTTTGCCATAGTTTAAACATCTGCCTTAAGGAGTAAAGTTGGTACCTTTGGCCAATCAGTACTGACATTGCTACTGCAATGTGTTAGAAGAACAGCGAGAAAGGAGAGAAAAGAGAACTCCACATGTTCTTACTAATAGGGGTGTGTGTTTGTGTGCACGCGCGCTCTTAGAGCCTTTTGAAAGTGGAGCTCCTGCTTGAGATTTGGGGTCCATTCCTCCATCTGTTTTTCCCTGGCTGCCAAGGCAGGTATTTTCTCTGGGAGGTGGAGTCATTTTAAACCTGAATCCTTAGTGCATAATTCACTGTAAGAGCACTGTGTGTTGAATGATAAACACTTATGAAGCATTTGCTGATATAACTCTTTTCTTTTTGACCTTGAATTGTTAGACAGGCAGACTGATAAGTAGATAGATAATAAATAGAAAAATACACAATATTTTAACTAAAAAATCATGGGGTAACAACTATAAACCTCTCCTTGCTGATCAGCACAAACTGATAAAGAGAAGTTACTGTAAACTGTAACAGAAAATGGAGTAAAGATGAGGAGTGGATGCAGAGTGGAGACCTGGTGAGTCTCTAAAGAGAAAGTGAAGCTGCCTAAACTATACTTCTCTCTTTCCACAGCCTCTCAAGAAGCCAAGTGTTGGTTGTGCAGCTGAAAACAGGGCACGCCCAAGGTCTCATAGAGAGAGGAGTGAGGAAGGAGGAAGGAGGAAGTGGAGGCGGTGTTAGCTACACCTGCTCATTGGCCTGACTCCAAGCCCTTTTTACTACGAAGAAAAGAGACATCCACTAAAACACCCATTTGAACGTGTTTTACTCAATTACCATGATGTTTGCCGTCCTCTCATGACTGCATTACTTTCGCATTTTTAGATAAC